ACCACTCACCAGCAGTCCAGTCCTGTTTCTCTTTAGACGCTTCTGACGCTGTCTGTGGTTCAAGAGTGGCTTGACACAAGGAATGCGACAGCAGAAACCCATGTCTTTCATACGTCTGTGTGTGGTGGTTCTTGAAGCACTCACTCCAGCTGCAGTCCACTCTTTGTGAATCTCCCCCACATTTTTGAATGGGTTTTGTTTCACAATCCTCTCCAGGGTGCGGTTATCTCTCTTGCTTGTACACTTTTTTCGACCACATCTTTTCCTTCCCTTCGCCTCTCTATTAATGTGCTTGGACACTGAGCTCTGTGAACAGCCAGCCTCTTTAGCGATGACCTTTTGTGTCTTGCCCTCCTTGTGCAAGGTGTCGATGGTCGTCTTTTGGACAACTGTCAAGTCAGCAGTCTTCCCCATGATTGTGTAGCCTATAGAACTAGACTGAAAGACCATTTAAAGGCTTTTGCAGGTGGTTTGAGTTAATTAGCTGATTAGAGTGTGGCACCAGGGGCCATCAATTTTGAACCTTTTCACAATATTCTAATTTTCTGATATGATGAATTTGAGATTTTCATTTGTTGTCATTTGTAATCATCAAAATTAAACAAAATAAACATCTGAAATATATGAGTTTGTATGTAATGTATGAATATAATATACAAGTTTCACTTTGTAAATGGAATTACTGAAATCAATCTACTTTTTCATGATATTCTAATTTTATGACCAGCACCTGTAGACTCTAGTGCTAAAGATAGGAGCATCCTGGGGAGCAGCTCTCCTGCACCCGGAGCTGAAAGCAGCTTTATTTCCTCACCACCTCCCTCCACCGAGCTGACGTCACAGTTATCTATTAGAAAGTGTGGCTGATTGACAGGTTTATAGAATTATTTAGCTACAAGGCTAGGCTAACTGCATGCAGCAGCCATGTTGGAGCTAAAACTCGGCTCTTCATCATACTCCAATTGTCTCAGCAGTAAATTTGAGCTTGAGTATTTAAAGTATAAAAGACATTCTCTGTAAGAACATGACCAGAAAAAGTGCTTCTTTCAGTCTCAATATGCTGAAAATGTTAGTAATCGATTCATGTGTCCACTAAGCTATGGATAAATGGAAAAGTACCTTTACAGAGATCCTTTTACTAAATATATTTCTTTAAATCAACTTTTGAAATGTACCAAAATAGTGGCCAATTATTTTAATAATAGATTAACAGTTTGATTAATTGTTTTAGCCCTACTGCTGCTGGTTTTAGCAGCAGATTCGGCCATATTGAAGGCTTTAGTTGCACCTTTATTGCATTTAACACATGAAAGCAAAAAAATAAAAGCAAACAAGGATGATGCTGAAAGTTTGACAAAAGAAATAATTTTGCATTTGATGACAGGTTTTTGTCTCAGTCAGAGGTTTATGAGTGTAAGATTAATATTTTCCTTTTAATAATGTCTAAAGGGATCTTTGTTCCACTATTAAAGGATTAAACAACAACAGCAAAAAAAAAAATTGAAAAAAATTATACAAATACAATCCCTCACACTAAGCATTCTTGTAGCGACAGTGGAGAGAAAAAAAACCCCTTTGAACAGGAAGAAACCTCCAGCAGAATCAGGCTCAGTGTGAGCGGCCATCTGCTGAGGCCCACTGGGGTTCAAGGAGACAGAAGCAGACATAGAAAAAGAAGCATAGATACAAAAGGCAACTGTCAACCAGCTCCACAGGCGGCCCCGTCCAGGAAACACACAGCCAGGCAGACGAGCTCCGAGCCAGCTCCCATGTCAGAGGATGAAGAGAGCACATCCAGTTAGTCACAGTCAGAGAAACAGGACTACACTGGAAAACAGGCCAAGCTCCAACATCTAGAAACAAAGATGTTGATGGCAGCAGCACAGCTGATATTTCTCTCCAGGATGGAGTCACAGCCAAACAGGAACAGACCAGATGAAGCTACTATGAGAAAAAGCAGAGAGAGCAGAAGGTTAGAGATTGAACGAATAGATTCTGCAGAGTGGGAGAATAGATATAAAATGAAGCAGAATGATGAAATAGGGGTCCCTATGTCCTCCAGCAGTCTAAGCCTATAGCAGCAGAACTATAGAGATAGCTCAGGATAACCTGAGCCACTCTAACTAGAAGCTTTATCAAAAAGGAAAGTTTTAAGCCTAGCCTTAAAAGTAGACAGGGTGTCTGCCTCATGGACTAAAACTGGTAGTTGGTTCCACAGGAGAGGAGCCTGATAACTAAAAGATCTGCCTCCCATATCATGATAGAGCGTTAAATTTGTGAAAGAAAGAAGAATTTTAGGGAAGCAATGATGGTAGAGTGATGCTGATCCATTGATAACTGGAGGATACCTTCAAATTCTCTGACTTTTCCTTAAATGAACAGATTTATGGTGTAAGTTTTACATCAGGAAATAGGTTCTGCGATGGCTAGAAGAGAAAAAACGAACATTTTCAGCGTAGCTCCAATCACAGGAAGCCATGCTTGCTCTCACCTACTGCTAGTTTCCTAAAGGGTGATATTGTTTGATATCAGCTAAGAAAACAGCAGGCCTCCTGGGGTTAGAGAGCACAGCGTCAGAATGATGATTTGGATGAATGCAGAGGACAGATTTACCCAATATGCAACTAGAAAATGATATTTCCTTTCTTTAAATCCATATTTTAGTTCTTAGTTCACCGTTCCTTTGCTCCTCTAGCCATTTATGATTATGCAGCTTTAACAGCGACACCTCCCCACTGAAACCCATTGGTGAGCCTTGGACCCTGGCAGACAGGTGCCTTTGTTCAGGAACCGGGTGTGCAGGCTGGGAGAGCTCAGTGAAGTAGAGGGAGGGGGCTCTGAGTCATTATTATGCTTTCCACAGAATGGTGGCGCTCCGCGTATTTTTTATTTTTTTTTACCGTGTTCCCGAGTTGGTCGGCACATTCCGCTGGCATTGTTATGCGGCCTGTTTCCTGCGGCCGACGGCTTTTGTCAGCCTCTCCCCCATTGTCCTGGCTTCCTTTGTTCCCCAGCTCCAACAATAGCTTTTTCTGCCTCTTTATATATATGTGCACTTTTTGCCCTTGTGTGTTCTGTTTGTTTTGTTCTGCTGTCTGCTGTGTTTTTCTTTCCTCCGGTTGTAGAGCCTGGAAATAAAACACACTCACAATCCTGAGTTGTTTTTTGTTCAAGTTTGGGGCGATTCGGACGTCTCTCAATCAACCCCCCCCCACCTCCCTTCCTATTCAGAAACTCATGCAGTCAGACTACATGTCTTGCTTTGACTTGATTCATCGAGGTTAGGCTTCCTGTTTAGTTTTTTTTATTTTATCCAATAAAAGACCCTGGAATCTTTTATGACTGACTAAACACCAAATGCCATGACACTTTTGGTGAATCTTAATTTCTAAGATTATATTTCTTTATCTATTATAAGGAAAATGATAAAACGATCTATCAGCAGAGTCCCTATGAGCTAGTTTGGTTTATTAGAATGAGAACTAAAGCAGATGCAGGTCAGGAAGGTTTAAAACACTTTAATAAGAATATAAATGACATGTTTGAGGTTATTCCAAAAAAAGAAAATTAAAAATCAATCCGCTGGACTTTGTTTCCAAGTTTGAAGACGTTTCTCTTCTCATCCAGGAATATTTTTCAATTTAAAATGTCAGAACTAGCGTTGAGTTCCAGGTTTTATCCACTCAAGGTAATTTCTGACATTTTGAATTGAAAAATCTTCCTGGATGAGAAGAGAAACGTCTTCAAACTTGGAAACAAACTCGAGCGGATTGATTTTAATTATTTCTTTGGAGCGACTATGACCTGGATGACTGAGGACCTTCACCCGTGTGTTTGAGGTTATGTTTTGAAGTTGTAAAGGAAGAGGTAATTAAACCATCCATTTTTTTTTGCTAAGCTGCTTAGGGCTAAATGATTTGGCTAAAAATCTAAATTACAATTATTTCAAACTAAAGGCGGTCATACACTGTATAAAACTTTCAATCGTTGCATGCAGCTACAGCTCAAACTATCAAAAACATCTTTACTTTTCATTAAAGATTAAATATTTATCTTGCACATCTAAAAATATATATCAATAAATTTAAAACATTTTAATTTTATAATTTAATTTTAATTTGTTCTGGTTCTGTCTAAAATTTGAGCGTCTGAGATTTGAAAATGACATTTTGTTTGTCACTCCTGTGGTGGGCGTGGTCTAAGTGCAGACAGAGGAAGATGGAAGAAAACTGTTTATGTGAACAAATAAGTAAAGAGGTTTTTTTTTGTTCTTGTCAGATTAGTGCCATGAAATTTAACCTGAAAGCATCAAAAGAACATCATGAAGTTTAACAATATTAGTGATTTTACAGACAACAATCGTACAACATTAGTGTTTTTATATAGATTTCACTGATTCATCTTTGCAGGCTTTTTTACAATCCAAGTATTCAAAAGCTGATAATTCCATAAAAAATATATATTTTAAATGCTTTGGCAAAAGCAGTAACCTGAGTATGACGATGCTGTTCATGTCAACCTGAGCCTGGTTCTGCTGGAGGTTTCTTCCTGTTCAAAGGGAGTTTTTCCTCTCCACTGTCGCTACAAGCATGCTTAGTGTGAGGGATTGCTGAAGAGTCAATGAGTCGATGCAATCAGCTGGTTGCCTGTAAAGTGACCTGAGATGACATGATGTGAATTGGAGCTATAGAAATAAACTGAATAGAATTGAACCTGAACACTTTCCTCAGGGATCTACTTCCTCACGTTGATCATGGCTAAAAGGGAGGTACAGAAAAACCTGCTCATCCTTTCATGTTTGTGACCTAACCTCTAATTATGACTGTGCTTGAATTTGTCAGCACATGAAATGAGGCCTTTCTAAAACTTTCCATTGTCTTATTTGACTTTTATTTTGAGTCATAGTTAGTAACAACCACCTATTGAATGAGCATCCAATTAGGCTGGCAGCAGCTCACCACACCCACAGGACAATGATGTGATTGCTTCTCCTCCTACAGAATGGTTGAGCCCAGCCCTTCAGCTCTGCACCTCCTCTCCAGTGGGGATGCACACATGGCAGAAATCGGTGTTAAAGTCGAACAGGAGGAATGCAACGGAGGAGGCGGAGCCAAAACCAGTTCAGAGCGCCCGGGGACTTTGCAGGAGTGGTCAGCCAACCAGTCTCTAGAGGCGCGTCAACTGACCCCACCGCTGTCACGCTCCCCTTCAGTAAGGATCCCATTCAGGGGTTGGATATGCAGTCTTTGAAGATTCAGATGATTTTACTGTTGGGGAGCAATGCTGGGGCCGTGGTTCCTGCATGGTTCTGTTCTAATATTAGCCTAACGGGATGTTTTCCCTGCTCTATGTTCCTATAGGAGGGCTCCCCAGGAAAGGAGTTACCCCACAAGCAGAGCCCCTTGGGAGGGAAGGAAGCTGGGATTCATGAGCAATCAGAGGCCCAATCAAAAATCAAGGAAGGTCTGTAGCCATGTTTGAAAATCACCTTTTATTGGTGGGAATGTTTCACACCCAGGAAGATGCACCAGTGTTGGAGGGAAATGTTTTTAATACAGTCCCAGTTCCCAGACAGGGTTAATGAGGGGAAAAAATCTCCATCAGGAAGTAGACTTTCTTGTGCTTTTCAAATAATATATATCTTTTTTTTTATAGAATTTTTTTTTTTAATTCTGTTTTTCAGGTTCAGTTTTAAGAATTGCTAGTTTTCAAATTTGCAATAAAAATGCAGCGCAATAGAAATGTGTCTTCACCCGTCGCTGCAGAGGACTGAAAATACGAGAAAGCAGCAAAATTATGCTCAAAAACCTTTTTTTGTTGTTAAATAACATTTCTCACAGTTTAATTTCGTTTTTTTTTTCAAATTTCAGTTCATAAAATGTGTTCTTTGTTTCCAATAATATTGAAACAAGAAACACTTTTAAGAGCTCAAATATGACCGTTTTAGTGCTTCGCAGATGAAAGCAGAATATGAAAAGACTTAGAAGATGAAAGACTTTGACATTTTGTAAACACAGTGTATACAAAATGAAATTTCATTTAGTACAGCTTATCAAAGATGTCCATCCTTAAAGTGCAGCAGTGATCAAATGTAAACAGTGTTGGAGAAAAAACATGGTGCAAAAAAACCTATTGATTGATCTGGAAGTTCAGAGCATTAATATCTGTGGTGCAAATCTGCAGAGTTTTGGTTTTGTGTTATCAGTGTGATGCATGGGACATGATTTTGAGTTTTTTCAACAGTTCAGCTGTCTGGTGGCTTCCCAGCCTCTAAATATAAGCTGGTAATTTGTTAAAATGCCTAAAATGGGAATAAAATGTCCATGTCCATCATCTTATTTTAACTGCGGTGCCATGTTGGATTGTTTACTTCTATAAGCTTGGTGCGGTCTCTGGGTTTTACTGCTTGGGTTTGTGGGTAAATATATCAAATCTTTAAGAGAAGTTGGAGTCAGAAGAGAAATAAAGTCGCTGTCATCACATTTATTTCAAAAGGTGAAGCTCATTTATTTCATGTATTACGGTCATTGCACACTGAGGCATTTATTTGAGGTGATTTCATCGACTGACAGCTAATAAAAACCATAACCTCAGAAAATCTGAATTTGATGTAAAGAAGATAAAAAATATTCCGTGTTTCATACAGAAACAATGAGTTATAGAAATGTGATGGCCAGAATGGTCATGGTTAGGCTGGTGACTCGATGGTCGTCATGGAGACAGTCATTAACAGATGAGCTGTGCTCCAAACAGATCTATTCAGATGGAAATAAAATCTGTACATCCTTTGAAATGAAGGCCTCATAGTCTGATGAATGATTGAAGCATAGAATTAAATTTATTTCATTTCCTTTCAGTGTTTTTGAATTGAATTGAAAACAAGCTGTTTATGGTCCAGGGCGTCGCCTCCACATTCAGGGCCGTCTCCATTTTCCATTTTTCCCATTTTTCCAAAGGTGACAGAAACCAGTTCAGTCTTACTGGTCAGATGGTGGTCTGGGCTAAACCACAGAGAGCCTCTTTATGCTCCAATCAAAAGAACACATTGAAGAAAACATTGAAGATCAGCAATTAGCTGCTGTGAAACCAACCCAGCACTACCTGGGCTACACATAAATAAATTAGTATTAATTGGCCCAACAGTTAAAATAAAAGAAAAATGAATTATTTATAGTATTTAAAGGTAAAAAGAAAGATTTTCACGAATGTTTGAAAAAAATGCACATGCCCAACCCTGTACCTGTTCCAGAGAAGGAGCGCCTGTTAAACGAGTGCGAGAGCATGCACAAGCCCTTTTCTCCTCATGCACGCTCTGTAAAAGTTTCTGTTTTCATCACTCATATAAGATTACTTTCCAAAAGATTTGCAATTTTCCCACTATGTCAGAAAACAGGCATGTAGGTAGGCCTTACGGAAACAGATCACCAGAATGATTGACAGTTAGCAGGACCAATGATTTAGATCTGGGGTCCTCAACATTTTCCAGGCCAAGGACGCCAAACTGATGGCAAAGGAGCGGGGACCCTCTGATTATATAGATTGTATGAAATAGTGTTCTATCAAACTGGTCCTATAGTCACTCTATTACAGATGGAGTAATGTAACTAAAGTAATCCCTCCCTGGGATTATTAAAGTATTTCTGATTCCTGGTTGATGGGACAGGTGTTGTGAATAAAACGGTTCCCAGCTTGAAAGAGCTCCTGTGTGTCGCTGAATGTGAGCATTGATGACTGAAAGACATCTTCTGCCTCCATCAGCCACTAGTGCCGTAAAAACGCAAAAAGAAAGGTGAATGCAAGCTAGCTCCTCTGTTAGCCTGGCTGATAAAACATATACGCAGCGTATTGCTCTGGTAAGGGGCTGGATTTCAAAGGCGGCACTAAGTGGGTCAGACTCATCAGGTTAGAACCAATCGGATAATTATGGATGTGAGACAAAAACTCTAAGTGATGCTGCTTTTGTCATTTTTTGGTCTGTGAAACATGTTACGCCATGGAAGAAACTTTCCAATGAAAGATTTCTGCCAGTTTTGCCTAAAAAAGCTGTGGATATTAGACTTTACGTTCTTAGGTTTCATTAGAAACATTGCTCCGCTGTTTTGTTGTCTTGCCAGCAGAAATGTGCTGCTGCACAACAGATAATTCTGAAGCTGAGAGTCACGCATCGTAAAGTTTCACTTCTGCACTGTGATTGGTCCAGATCTGGCCCTGTAATTCAGCCTGGCTGGTCTGGCTAGCTCTGTCTAAGAAAGAAACAGCTCTGAGTTGGTTTTCATGTAAAAAAAAAAAAATGATGACAGAGCGCATATAGAGTTAGTCACAGTAAAGGCTGGCCCAGTAGCTATGTCTAGGAGAGAAACAGGACTAAACACTGATATTTAGAGGTGTTGATGGCAGCAGCACAGCTGATATTTCTCTCCAGGATGGAGTCACAGCCAAACAGGAACAGACCAGATGAAGCTACTATGAGAAAAAGCAGAGAGAGCAGAACGTTAGAGATTGAACTAACAGATTCTGCAGAGTGGGAGAATAGAGATAGAATGAAGCAGAATGATGAAAAAGGGGTCCCTATGTCCTCCAGCAGTCTAAGCCTATAGCAGCATAACTATAGAGATAGCTCAGGATAACCTGAGCCACTCTAACTAGAAGCTTTATGAAAAAGGAAAGTTTTAAGCCTAGCCTTAAAAGTAGACAGAGTGTTTTTAGGTGCAGAAATCTGACATCAGACTTTTAAGAGCTAGAACCTGCAACGAGAAGCACACTTTAAGGAGGCGAACCATGGGGTCTGTAGTTTTGCAATGGGGGGGCTTTGAAGCTACGTAGCTCTGTAGAGAATCCATAAAAGACTTTCCCTCATTGCTCTCATGAAGATGACTGTATGAGGATCCAAGCAGGATCATAAAGGCCCTAAAAGATGAAGCACGCTGGCTTCTCCTCATCACTGCTCTCAGCCAATCAGAGCTCTCCCTGCTCATTGCTGATTAATTTGAAACAAACAGATCAGTTTTCTTTACAGTTTCTGTTCTGAGGTTAAGTTTTAGCTTCTAGAAGAGTCTACTTATAAAAAGAGATTGCTGATCTGAGGAGTTGATATTTGAAGCTGTAGTTAGCGTCCTAGAAGAGGATCACTATGATGAAAAAGATGAGTTTTCCGATAGATTGACACACTGATTCCTTCCAGGAACCCCTGAGTCTCTGGCGGAGAAGGAGCTCCAGCTGTTGATGATGATAAACCAGCTGAGCGGCCTGAGAGAGCAGCTGCTCAACGCCCATTCAGAACAGAGGAACATGGCTGCCCTGCTGCTGGAGAAGCAGCAGCAGCAGATGGAGGTGGCCCGGCGGCAGCAGGAAGAGGTACGCTTTTCCTCAGCAGCAACATTTCATAACATCTTGATGATGGGATAATGGAAGAGCTGCGGCCAAGCAGAATCCCTCTGTGGTCACTGTTTGTGAATACCACCAGTGAGAAAATGTGAAAATAATCTGTGCTTTATGTCATTTTCCAAACAGGCAGCCCAGCCCGCTTAGCTTGTTCTTGCTTGTGCCACTGTGGTTGCTAATAATGCGCCTTATCTCTCAGATCGCCAAGCAGCAGGAGCTGCTCATCAAGCAGCAGCGAACCATCAACCAGCTTCAGCAGCAGATCCAGGTCAGCTCCTCTCTACAGCTCTCACATGGCCTCATAGATCTGAGCCAGTGCAGAAAGCATGGGGGGACTGTTGGGGGAAATTTTTTTATTCAGTTTATTTCTATAGCTCCAATTCACATCATGTCATCTCAGGTCACTTTCCAGTTCACCAGATCATCCAGTCAGATTGATTAATCGGACTGGACTAAACATTGTCTTTAAGAATTGTCCTGTCCTGCTCTGTCCCAGCAGGTGAACATGCCCTTCCTGATGATCCCAGCTTTCCACCCAAACTCCCAGCCGCTCCCTGTCACCTCTGAATCTCAGATGACATATCCGGTGCAGCCGATCCCCTGCAAGCCCGGTGAGTTTCAGTCTATTTACCTTTTCTGATGAGTCAGAGTGAAACCCTAACCCTATTTTAGGAGGAAAACTTCCCACACATTCGAAACTAATGGCAATATCAAAAACAAACTATGGGAATGGTTTCCTTCAACGTTTTAAACTTCGGCATACGTTTCTTTCATACCTTATAAAAACAAAGCTAAAACAGCTTCCAACCTAAAGTCTAAACTGGGTTTTAAAGAATATTCTAGATGTTTTTGGTTTGAACGACTAAATACTTTGATCTTTAACTAGATCAACCTCCTTACAAACGCAGCCAAAAGGAAAGTTATTCCTCCTTGGTGGGATGTTAGCCTGGAGCTAAACGTTAGCCCTTCTGGAGATCAAATATATACTAAGATATTAAACCAGTATATTTATATGAATGCAAACAAAAAACTCATTCTAAAATGTTCTGCAAAATGCTTTAAATTTTTATTCATGCTTAATCCAGTCTGTCTTTCATCATTTATTTATCATCACTGTTGAAGGAGCGAAAATAAAAAAATGAAAATGAGCCCTAAATCAAAATGCTCTAAATTCACTAAACAATGAGTTCTCCCACCTGATCAAATCAAAATCTAAACATGTAATCAAAAGCTTAACGGCTATAAACGCACTAATATAAATCACAGAAATCTGAGGAGTTTGGCAAAATGTACCATCAGTGGTGAGCGACATAGATCTAGTCCAGTCAGAATCTATCTGCTCTGTAATGAAGGCTGCTGAAGTTGAGCTTTTATTTTAGAAAGCATATTCATTTATTAATTCATTAATAATTGGGCTGAAATGATCAATCAGATTCATGGATATTTGAATCAAACCGTTACCCATAGCAACGGCACACAGACTCTACAACAAGCTGAAATAAAAACACTGCAATGATGAAGACAAAACTCCACAAATAAAAACAATCATTGTTTTTTTTAACTTAAAATATCTACTATTTTTCTATTAAAAGCGTAATTGTTTAATTGAATATATCACATGATCTATAACTATAACATCTATAACTATATTATCTATATGTATTTATTCTTAGTTTTTACAATTTGCTATTTATTTTAAATGCATTATAATATTTTTCCTACATTATAATTTTTAATTCAAAAAATGTTTATTTATTATAACTATATTTATAGATGAATGGGTTCCTAAAATGATCGATGGCTGCTTTATGTCTGCTTGTATTTATTCCCGCTGCTTCGTCTCTCACAGCGGTGGACTATCCCATCCAGCTGCTGCAGAGCAGTCACCCCGCCTCCATCAAGAGGAGCACCACCTCCTTCCGGCAGGTAGGAGAACTTCTTTATACCTTCATCCAAAGAGGAGATGGGGAAAGTTTTCCATGCAGAGAATCAGCATTGTGGTTTGAAGCCTGTTAAAGAAAGTGATTCCCGCTGGATTGAACAAACAATGGGTTTTTCTAGTATTTAGGGAGGCTGAAAAGCTTTAGGAATACACCACACCCTCCGTTCAAAGCTTTAATGCGTGCAGCGTAGGTGTGCGTGCGTGTGGAGCAAACCGTTTGCACGGAAGGTTCTCAAGCAGAGATAGAACAACACAGCCTGAATAAACAAAGAGAATGAGGGGATGAGAATAACACACAGAAATCCTGCTAAGGTGTGACGGATTTGCTCCAACATGTTAACCGCTGCGTTCATGCCTGGGATCCACGCATGCCCTCACCTTCTCCTGTTCTGCCTGATTTTTGTTTTGTGAAGGAGGCCAGCCAGCCTTTGAACCTGACCTCCAAGCCTAAGGGGATGGAAGTGGGGAAGACATCCAGCCCACAGAGCCTGGAGCTGGGATCACTGGCGCTGCAGGGGGGCTACAGATTCAGAGATCTCCACAGAGAGGCGTCCCACAGCCCCCCACGGCCCACCCTCAGTGAGTAACCCTGCACAGCTTTCTGTCATGCGAAAAACAAAAGTTTTCAACCTGTAATAGGACATAGTAACATCTGAACAAAGTGTCAAACCAAGATTTATGACTAAGGAAGCTGCAATAATAAAATCCAGCCTTAAAATAAGACGGGCGATTCCTGAAGATCCTTCACGCAGCAAAAACAGTCTAAATATGAGTAAAAATGTCTTAAATTAAGTGTATTTACCCTTAATCTAAGCAGGTAAATAAGTGGTTTGCCAATGGAATTAGTATTTTCTACTCTTAAAATAAGATAATTAGATCCTCCCAAAAAAATTTAAAACAATCCACTGGACTTGGTTTCAAACTTGAAAAGTCCAGTTAGCTCTGTTAGCTTCATTAGCTAACCTTAAAAACCCTCTTCTTTGCAATCTGGAGTTTTGTTGCATATTTAACTCCTTTCCACTAATTGGATGTGGAAAATTAGGAAGTTTAAAGATTCACATCCGGCCTTAGTGCAGTACCCACATGCGGCCACACGATGGCGCCAAAGTCGCTCCAGATTGAGTCAGAGACGATCATGACGTAAAAGTGTTTAGATTATTGTTTTTTTGAACAAAGCAAAGCGAAGTTTGCACAGTTTAGGTCTTTTAATCTTATTTGTGAATATCTATATGCAGAGAAAGATTTTAGTGTAAATAATATAATAATAATTGTGTTTTATTTCAATTTTTTTTGCTGTACTATATTGTTTCATGCTTCCCATCTTGTTTGCTGCTCATCGATCTAAGCTTCTACTCATCGACATTTAAAATGTGATAAAATGTCGATATGTAGATAAATATTTCACAAAGACAGAAAACGTCTTATAAATCAGCACATTTTCTGGTTAATCTAATGATGTCTAAGGTTTTCTGAACGATTTCAGAGAATCTGTATAATAATAATAATAATAATAATAATAATCAATAGGGCTGCACCTATTGGCCCCTGTTGGCTCCTGTTGGCTCTTGTTGGCCCCTGCTGGCTCCTGTTGGCTCCTGTTGGCCCCTATTGGCTCCTGTTGGCCCCTGCTGGCCCCTGTCTAGAACTGTCCCTGATTAGGGATTAATGTAATTTAATGTTTAATCTTTGGAGGCGTGTTGGTCTGATCTGTTTCCAGATGTGATCAGATCCTTTCATTGTGCAGAAAAAACGCCAACATGGTGTCAGTCTGTTTCCATGGTTACTTCCCGTAGTTCCTCACTTTAACTGTCCATCCCTTCAGGTTTCCTGGGAGAAGGCGACGTGGTCACTCAGGCCATCCACGATGCCCAGCAGCTGCTGAGGAGTCACAGCAGGGGGGAGAAGGTGCGGGACGGGGCCGTGAAAATGGTGAGTTTTCTCTGCATGCTCACGATTAATCATCCCTGAAAAGACTTTTGAAACTCAAAAATAACTTTAATATCATAGATGTTTATAATTCTTTATTTTCTTATCTTGGGTCCAACTGTTGAAGCATTCGTCCCTTTCTGTCAGGAAAGAACTAAACACTAAGAACTAAACAATCTTCACTGTTTAAGTTAGTAAATTAGAGGAAGATAATTGAAGAAATGAAGCAAACTGATTTAAAAGCCTTTATAGAAAAGATGTAGATGATAAAGGAAAGTTTAATCTGAGCTGGAGGGGCTGCAGGTCTGGAGGTTAAATGTTCCTGTTAGATAAACGCCACATGGTGGGGCGCTTCGCTCTGCTGAAGGACCAACAGGAAATGGTTTTCTTAGCTTGTTTGACGCCCGGCGACGCTTTCTGACGACTGATCCCAGAACTGTTCAGTCTGACATGGATTCAGCTTCTAAAGGTTGAAGTCCTGTTTAAGAATCCTCCGTTTTAAAGACCATGGCTGCTGTTCTCTCAGGTTAAAATAAAAAAAAACATATTATTTATTTATTTATTTCATGTTTTGTTTAATTTTTTCATTTTTCTTCTAATTGCATTTCACAAAGACTTGTTCTATTGGTCTGCTGGACGTTACTTAGCAACAACATTGAAGTGAAATCGATGTGAAACAGTTTAAAAGACGAATTCATCATTTGAAAAAGAAAAATTTGAACAAATAAAATTGTAAACAAAAATCAGCCTTTAATTGTTCTATTCAGCTGAAACCTAAATAGAAATAGTTTATCTTTTCTCTCTCTGCCTCTGAAGTCCTCCTCTCTGTGTTTTTTTTTTATCTTTCATCATCTTTTCTTGTGAATTACTTTAAATTGTCTTGTTAATGAAATGTTCTTTAAATAACCATGTCTGGACTTGCCTTCAGCCGAAGGGGAAAGTTTGGTGCAGAGGGATTAGTGGCCTTAGCAGAGGAGGCATTGCTTTCTCCTCTGGATTCTTCTGCACCTGGATCTTAAACCTTCTCTAATCCGCTGCTCCTTGATCTGAGCTAGTGTTGGTTTAATTTTATTATATTACAGAAACAAACAGAAAAACATGTTGGAGTAAGAAAAGGCGGCTGCAATGTGATTAAAGGCTTATCCAGGAAAAGGCTGTTTGGACTTTGGGTTCAGACACAAACCAGGCAGCACAGAAAGCAGAGGGATGGCGGCCATCTTTATTTGGTCTGCTTCTAGAGGTCAGCCTGGTTCTAGACGTCAGCCTGGGGTCAGCCTGGTTCTAGAGGTCAGCCTGGATCTAGAGGCAAGCCTGGGTTCAGCCTGGTTATAGAGGTCAGCCTGGGGTCAGCCTGGTTCTAGAGGTCAGCCTGGGGTCAGCCGGGTATAGAGGTCAGCCTGGTTCTAGAGGTCAGCCTGGGGTCAGCCTGGTTCTAGAGGTCAGCCTGAGGTCAGCCTGGGTTCAGCCTGGTTCTAGAGGTCAGCCTGGGGTCAGCCAGGTATAGAGGTCAGCCTGGTTCTAGAGGTCAGCCTGGGGTCAGCCTAGGGTCAGCCTGGTTCTAGAGGTCAGCCTGGATCTAGAGGTCAGCCTGAGGTCAGCCTGGGTTCAGCCTGGTTATAGAGGTCAGCCTGGGGTCAGCCTGGTTCTAGAGGTCAGCCTGGGGTCAGCCGGGTATAGAGGTCAGCCTGGTTCTAGAGGTCAGCCTGGGGTTAGCCTGGTTCTAGAGGTCAGCCTGAGGTCAGCCTGGGTTCAGCCTGGTTCTAGAGGTCAGCCTGGGGTCAGCCAGGTATAGAGGTCAGCCTGGTTCTAGAGGTCAGCCTGGGGTCAGCCTAGGGTCAGCCTGGTTCTAGAGGTCAGCCTGGATCTAGAGGTCAGCCTGAGGTCAGCCTGGGTTCAGCCTGGTTCTAGAGGTCAGCCTGGGGTCAGCCAGGTATAGAGGTCAGCCTGGTTCTAGAAGTCAGCCTGGGGTCAGCCTGGTTCTAGAGGTCAGCCTGGATCTAGAGGTCAGCCTGTTTCTAGAGGTCAGCCTCGGTCTAGAGGTCAGCCTGGGGTTAGCCTGGTTCTAGAGATCAGCCTGAGGTCAGCCTGGTTCTAGAGATCAGCCTGGGGTCAGCCTGAGGTCAGCCTGGTTCTAGAGATCAGCCTGGGGTCAGCCTGAGGTCAGCCTGGGGTCAGCCTGAGGTCAGCCTGGGGTCAGCCTGGTTCTAGAGATCAACCTGGCGTCAGCCTGGTTCTAGAGATCAGCCTGGGGTCAGCCTGGTTCTAGAGATCAGCCTGGGGTCAGCCTGAGGTCAGCCTGGGGTCAGCCTGGTTCTAGAGATCAGCCTGGGGTCAGCCTGAGGTCAGCCTGGGGTCAGCCTGAGGTCAGCCTGGTTCTAGATTACAGGCAGTCCTGTTTCAGCCTGGGGTCAGCCTGAGGTGAGCCTGGGGTCAGCCTGGGGTCAGCCTGAGGTCAGCCTGGGGTAAGCCTGGTTCTAGAGATCAGCCTGGGGTCAGCCTGGTTCTAGAGATCAGCCTGGGGTCAGCCTGGTTCTAGAGATCAGCCTGGGGTCAGCCTGAGGTCAGCCTGGGGTCAGCCTGGTTCTAGAGATTAGCCTGGGGTCAGCCTAAGGTCAGCCTGGGGTCAGCCTGGTTCTAGAGAGATCAGCCTGGGGTCAGCATGAGGTCAGCCTGGGGTCAGCCTGGTTCTAGAGATCAGCCTGGGGTCAGCTTGAGGTCAGCCTGGGGTCAGCCTGGTTCTAGAGATCAGCCTGGGGTCAGCCTGAGGTCAGCCTGGGGTCAGCCTGAGGTCAGCCTGGGGTCAGCTTGGTTCTAGAGATCAGCCTGGGGTCAGCCTGAGGTCAGCCTGGGGTCAGCCTGGTTCTAGAGATCAGCCTGGGGTCAGCCTGAGGTCAGCCTGGGGTCAGCCTGAGGTCAGCCTGGTTCAAGATTACAGGCAGTCCTGTTTCTCCGATGGACAAATCCTGCAGCTGGAGGCTCACAGCCAATGACTACCTTCAGTGTTGTTTCTGACAGCCATCTTAGATTGAAGCCTGGTTATACTCAGAAACCAGGTGGTCTGCATTGTCAGCAGGACCCTTTTTCCACCTGGATCCCCGCTCTTTTTGGCCCTCATGTCCCTCCGTTGTCGCACAAACTTGTCCCCATTTCCTCACCGCCTGGCCCACAGACCCACAGCTAGTTCTTGATTGGCCCTCTGGTGTTGTGGCATGGAATAACATAGCGCAGACCACTGCGACACACTGGTTTTAGTCAGTTTTATGTTGCAAAACAAAGTTAAACTTTATAATTTGGAATAACAAGCAGATTCTTTCCCAGCCTGCAGCTCTATCCTAGATGCTACAATAGCTGGGTATAGAATGCTGCCGTGCAGATCGTCATTGCTGTTGGACAGAAACTTTGATTCATAGAATTCATCTAAACTTTTTTAAGAATTAATGCCCCACTTTATAAAAAAGTGTCTTAAAAAAGTTGTGAAAACAGCAGATCTAGGATTTGATAGAAAACAAATACAGAGAGAACCTCCATAACTGCCATGTAATGCCATGGCAACCCAGACCTAAAGTTAATCAATATGCTAAATATGTTGAAACATTTAAAGGAAACAGAGAAAATGTTTTATTGACAATTCAAGGAAACATTTACATCATATTTAAACAGAAACGAGAACAATAAGAAAGAAATATTCAAAGATCTATGAACCTTTTCATCTGGATCTTTATCCAAAAATTAACAATATTTCAATGAAATATTTGCTTTGGATATAATTTAGCGATTAATTTTGGTAGAAATTAAAGAATGTTTAGCATCACCTCTTGTGAGCTGGAAGGAATAAAATCTTGATAGTAAATGTTTTTTTTATGCTTGGCAGAGGATGATCAGCCATATCTAGTTTATTAAGTAGTGAGAGCAGGAAGGGCCGTACTGCTGAGAGCGAACCGACTCTGAGCTAAGCAGCGCAAAGAAGCATTTCTGCACAGCTGGAGGATCAGAGTTAGTCAGAGTTCAGCGCGCAGTACCGGATCATTCCGGGTTATTTTCTTAGACCTGCTGCCTTGGTCCCTCTGTGATCCTGCAGAATGTGTACCGCTGCACGCCAGTTGGGGGCGTGACCGAACAGGATGCAGCAGCACGGCTGATGCTGCTCAGCAGATTACAGCACAATGATGCAGTTTAAATGTCTGACTGACTGTTCATGTTTTAGTGATCAAAGATCCACGTTTAGCTCGTCAGTTCTCGTTATCGTCATGAAAAAAAGGATGACGATGGGAAATTCATTCGTTGACGAGAAGATTGACCAAATTATTGTTTTTTTTTTTTTTTCTTGGCTTATAAATCGTTTTGTATTTTTATGTTGTTGTTAAGGAACCTATTAGTGGTCGAATCATCAGCTTTCTGCTTCGCCCATCAGTCTTTAAAGTGACTGAAGCTTCAGCTGCTGAACATAAAATTAAGGCCTCAGAGTGGCATTCACCCAGCCTCACTATCCTCACTAATACTGTACTTAGTACTCTCCTCCTCCTCCTCCTCCTCCTCCTCCTCCTCCTCCTCCTCCTCCTCCTCCTCCTCCTCCTCCTCCTCCTCCTCCTCCTCCTCCTCCTCCTCCTCCTCCTCCTTATTTTCCTATCTTTGCAAACCCAGCCCTACATTTCTAACCCTTCTGATATGAGCAGCATGCCTCTGACCTTAAATGCTCATCCTGAACACACCATCTTTAAATACTGATATATCAGTGAGTTTACAGCCTAAATGACACCCGCCTCTCGTTCTCTTTTATCTGCAGGAATATAAAAGTTCTCCTCGTACAGAGAAAATGACTCACTGTGAGCGAGAAGAAAGACACGGCCTGCAGAGCACGGAGGACCACCTCAGCAGCGACTCAGAGGGTAGGTGGTCCCAGATGAGACTATTGCACAAAATCAACATGCAGAAGAGAATTGGACGTTTTTATGTCCAACAGGGCATTGCCTTCACTTTTAAATGGATTAGACAGTGACCCGTTTATAGAAGTTATAAGTACGCCAAAGCACACCAGCACACGTTGACATTCAATTCTATTCAGTTTATTTCTATAGCTCCAGTTCACATCATGTCATCTCAGGTCACTTTCCAGTTCACCAGATCATCCAGTCAGATTGATTCAAAGTTTTCTATCTAAGGAAAACCAGCTGATTGCATCGACTCATTGACTCTTCAGCAATCCCTCACACTAAGCATGCTTGTAGCGACAGTGGAGAGGAAAAACTCCCTTTGAACAGGAAGAAACCTCCAGCAGAACCAGGCTCAGTGTGAGCGGCCATCTGCTGAGGCCCACTGGGGTTCAAGGAGACAGAAGCAGACATAGAAAAAGAAGCATAGATACAAAAGGCAACTGTCAACCAGCTCCACAGGCGGCCCCGTCCAGGAAACACACAGCCAGGCAGACGAGCTCCGAGCCAAAACAGGCCAAGCTCCAACATCTAGAAACAAAGGTGTTGATGGCAGCAGCACAGCTGATATTTCTCTCCAGGATGGCGTAGGAAAGTATGAAAAGCACCTATTTACCTTTGAGTACAACAAACAGAAGGCCAGAAGACTTTTATCTGGGTCTGAGGCTTTGGTGCATCCAAACTCATACATTCATGAACGTTTTCGTTTAAAGCATAGAAATCAATCACCTTTAATCTGAATGAGCTCAGAAATGAGTTCAGACAAAATGTTTTGTCAGATTGATGAAAGTTGTACCATAAAGATCAGAATGTTTGCAGATCTGTTGGGAATCGTTTGTTAAGAAATGTTAGAAATGAACATTGAAAGTCTCCCTTTTACCCCGTTTCCTGTAGGCGACCTCCCCGCCACGGTCCAGGGAAGCTACGCCGAGACCCGGCCCACTTCCTCCACCGGCCACATCAAGAGACCCATGAACGCCTTCATGGTGTGGGCCAAGGACGAGCGCAGGAGGATCCTCCAGGCTTACCCAGACATGCACAACTCCTCCATCAGCAAGATCCTGGGTGAGTCCTCCCAGCGGTGGGGAGGGATGGGTTTCTGCTTGCCTGCGGCCTGCATTGTGTGAGGAACCAAGACGCCACCAACGCGCAGTTTCCAGGAAATCCTAAGGTTTAAGGAGACCTTGTAAAGCAAACCTTAGCTTGAATGGGGGACATTTGCTAACCAATCAGAAGCTGGATGCCGTGACTCCAAGCTCCCCTGTTAACCAATACAAACACGTTTCTATGGTTACCGCTGCAACTCTAACAATAGCTCATACTCACGCATGCAGATGATGAACTCCTTTACTTCACTCACATATTTACTCAGTATTTAGTAGGCATAGAAATACTGGGATTAGGATTATTTAGAGCAGTAAACTGACTGAAGAAGCTGACAGAATCAAATTATTGGCTTATTTTTATTCGGTTTTCATTAAAACTGTGGCATATTAAGGTTCTAGTTTCTAAAAGTGCAAAACGTCCTTCATGACTATAATTAGTTTAGAGTCAAAATAAACCTGGAAACATTCATTAATTAGTCTTCATAATGTGAACCTGAAGTTTTATCACCAGTGAAACTGTTAGCTAAAGCATGTTTGTCTGCAGGCACCAGGTGGAAGGCCATGTCCAACCAGGAGAAGCAGCCGTACTATGAGGAGCAGGCCAGGCTGAGCAGGCAGCATCTGGAGCGTTACCCCGACTACAAGTACAAACCGCGGCCCAAACGGACCTGCATCGTAGAGGGCCGAAGGCTGAGGGTGGGCGAGTACAAGGCCATGATGAAGAGCCGCCGACAGGAGCAGAGAGGCTCCTACGCACACAGGTACACTGCAAAACATTTCTATCTAAATAAGTCACTTTTTCTTAAAATAAGTCATTTTTCTTGAACTGAGTCGGTAAGTGAGACACTTTGCCAACAGAACAAGACAGTTTACATTTAAAAGAAGAAAAAAAACAATCGTATTTTCTTATTTCAAGTGCATATTATCTAATTATCGCGTTTTAAGAATAAAATATTCATTCCATTGGCAAATCTTCTCATTTAAAAACCCAAATTAAAGTTAAATACATTTAATTTATGACATCTTTACTTATTTCTTCATGGTTTTTGTTGTAGGGGAGGCCATGAAGGCCAAACCTCCTCAGGTTCAGTGTGAAACAGTGTAACGCTGCAAATAAAAACACTATGAACAGTCTGTGAGAGAAAATGGCTCATATCTTTTCTCCTGTATGTTAATTGTTGGGCTTTGACTAGGCCATTCTGAGAAGAACATGCTTCAATCTAAACCAGGTTCCAGAAACTTTCACAATCGGCTTTTAAAAAATGACATTTATCAGGAGCAGCAGAGCCTGAATCTGGCTTAAAAAAGACGACTTATCAAGTTTTACAAATGCTTTGTCTGTTTTTTATGTTAAATGAAGAACAATTAAACTTTTATAATCAATCAAAGAAAGAGGAGCATCCATCATTTACGAGGGAAAGAAAATACTTTGATGACTTTGTGCTGTTGGAATGGAAGCATTCCCACAGCATGATACCTCCACCGTCAGAGATGATGCGTTCAGGATGATGTGGTGTTAATTTTCCTTAGGCCGTAGGGTTTTACCTGTAAGGTCAGTTCAAAGAAAACGCCTCAATAATAATGCTTTTCATACTTGATATTGGCGGTTGTGACAGAAGGTGATGAGTCTGATGGCGTGCTGTGATGCTGACGTTCCCTCCTGTCTTCCAGTCAAACCGAGCCGCAGCAGATCCATTACTCCCAAAGCGACGGCCAGTATCCAGCCGGCGGCTCCATCTCCGTCCCAGGCTTGCCATTTCACCCCGCGCTGCTGGAGCACTACCTGCCGCAGGTCCCGCCCCCTGGCCGCAGGCCCGAGGGCCGGGCCACGCCCACCCCGCAGCCCAGAGACAGAGAGAGGAAACGAGAGAGGGAGCGTTCCCCCTACAGCGAAGGAGAGGAAAGCGACGCGGGAGAGAGGAGCGAAGGGGAGCTAGTGCTCCTCACAGACTGATGAGCAGAACTGGGAGGAACTGGGAGAAAAGATGGTTTTAATCATCAGAATCTTAAGTCCTGGACCCCCACATGTTCCCCCTTTACCTCATTACAGTGGAAAATCAGCCCCTGGCATCTAAATGATCCCCTGCTTTGTGTTTAAACAGGATTCTTCTACTTTAAAAAAGTTTTTATTTAATCCTTCTGCTGCTTGTTTTCCTTCCATGATGCCTTTTATCAAACAATAGATCCACAGCCATGAGAATTAGAGCAGCAAACTGACCAGCTGAGCTAAAGTCTGTCATCTCTGGGTCTGCGCTGCCACCTGGTGGTAAAAAACTGTTTATTACAAGTCAGAGTGGGAAGAAAAACTTAACTGCTGCTGAAATCTAATATACCGACCAAAGAAAAGCTGATAGAAAGCAGGTCAGATCAGGAAGCTCAGTGTCTGCTGCTGGTTCTCTGTCTCCAGATGCTTTTATTACCCTGGATTAAATGTTTGAAAACAGCCTTTAAATTAATTCATCTTAAAAATCAGAAATCCAACTCTTAGTTTAAGATCTGGAGTAAAAATTGAACATTTGTTTTTAACAAACTCCTCAGTTAATAATTATTTTAACATAAATTAATCTGTAGATTACTAGAAGTTTTAAACCACTGATTCATGGCTCCTATAAACCAACACTGGAAAAAATCTAAACCTAGATAAGTCATTTTTTTCTTAAAAAAAAGTGAATTTTTTCTTGGATTGAGGAGATAAAAGAGACACTTTGCCAACTGAACGAGACAATTTACACTTAAAATAAGAAAATATAATTTGATTGTCTTATTTCAAGAGCATATTACGTAATTATCTCATTTTAAGAATAAAACTACTCATTCCATTGGCAAATCTTCTCATTTATAAACCCAAATTAAGGGTAAATATATTTAATTTAATAATTTTTTATTTATTTCTACATGTTTTTTCCAGTGAGAAACCATATTTTTGGACAGTGCTGGTCAAAGCTCTGATGCTCTGAAGCAAAGTGAGTATTTTCATGCCATGAACTTTGAGAATCTGCCTTTATGACCAATCAGGAAGCGAAGCGCCGACTTTAGCCAGAACAGGATGCTTTGGTCTGATCAGCTGAAAACTGAGCTGCATGGCAAGAAGTTCATACCCTCCTGCTATTTGGTACGATGGCCAGTGCAGAATAGAGCTGGATAACCTGCAGGCATCTGCAGTTTTTCCTCTCTGCAGACCTTCTGCAGCAGACCTGCAGGCTGAGCCATGAGCGCAGCTTTATCCGCTGGTAATCAGCTGTCCTGCAAGCAGAGAGAACAGATATTCTGCAGCCTTGGTACCCTCCTCATTCAGCCATGGTCGTGAACCCCCCCCCCCACAGTCGCGCCTCCTTTCCTCTGCGCTGTTTACTTCTCCACAGCTGGGTGGGTTTAGTCCAGCCTGTTGCTTTCATGTGTTTTTGTTTTTTTAAGGTCTTTTCTTGAATGTTGTGTTGAATCTGTTCATTTGAATACATGTTTTTATTGTTTTTTTTAATTGTTATTTTGGGTAATAATTATACTGAAGTTAATTTGAGCAGCTTGATCATCTTTCCTGCTCTTGTTTAGATGATCCAGCTGGAGGAACAATAATCCTACAGATTAAAGCGGATGTCATTCATCCAGGATGAAGCGGTAGCGTCTCGTTAATCTGATCACAGAGCTGGATGTAGAATAAAAAGAGTGATTTAAAAACCACCGTAGCATCTGATTGGACAGGGATCTGATTGGATGTAGCTGGACCTCCATCCGTCTCATGGTGGACAGGATCTGTTATTCGATAGCACTTTCCAGTTTCATGGCGGCACTGGTTATGATGGGAAACTGACTCCGGTTAGTTCTCCTTTACTGATGGTTCATCTGGTGGGATATTAAATCACATTTTACCTGCTTTTAATGAGCGAATGGAGTTTTCTCTGCCTGTTTAACCATTAAGCATATTCTTCCCCTCCCTCACCTGTTGCTGTGTCCAGAGGTGGGTTAGATATCCAAAAGGTTGTACTTAATTAAAATCAGAGCGATACTTTAACCCCCTAAGCAGCGACTGCAGGTTAACTAAGCAGAAAGTCACAGAAGCTAATGTTAGCTAGAAAAAACTATGTTTTCTTTTTTTATATTTAAGCTAAACTTGAACCCAAAGTTATTCTCACTCCTTTAAGATACTTCTCAACTGAAATGATTTTAATGATATTCATCAGATTTAATAGATCTTTCCTAGAATGAACCTCATCAGCTTTTTCAGGCAGACTTTTCAGAGCCGGATCTCCATCATTAAAGGGCTTGTTTGGTGTCCATAAATAAGGAAACATGGTACTTTCTAAATGTTTTAGTATAAAGTCCAGGAGTGGTTGTTGTCGTGGGTCTGTCTGCAGTTTGTTCATCCATCATGAACTGAGGAGGAGGTTCGCTTCTTAACATCTAAACATTTATTCTACACAAACATGCTGGATCTTCTGTGTGCAGCGTTTAAAAAACTTTATTTTATGACATACTGGAACCACCTGTCATTACCCTGCTGATGTAAATATAGATTAAAGTTTATTTTGTTTATAAGAGCTTGTGTAATTTAAAGTTGTACATTTCCATATGTTTTCAGAGTTTTTGAAAGAAAATAAACTGGTTGTTTTAATGATGTTTGGTGTTGCTCTTAATTAGTTTCTTTATTTCTTAAAGGAAAAGTCCACTCATATCCAGAGTACTTCTGAAAGTAGTTTAAATCTGAGATGATTACATTCTGCTCAATAAATGATCAATGTTTTTAATTCAGAGTGAATTTCAATGGTGAAGTCCTCTGGAAATCTTCAATAATCGTTGATTGCAGATGTGTCTAGTAGTTCCCATTGATTTTGCTTGTAAAGCGGGGAGAATGGCGCTAGGCTTACCGCACCGTGACGTCACTGCTGGAAGATGGCAGGAGGGAGGGGCTACTATATTTGGGCTAACCCCTGAACCTCTTAATGTTCTTAGATTAACTCAGTAAACAATCATGGAGAAATCAATTCAAATGTCTTATCCTTCAATTCAGAGCAGATATATCTGGACATTAGATTTCTCAGTAGCAGATGTGGTAAAAAAGACATGGAGGGGGTGAAGAAGTTTTAAAACTTCTAGGCAGGATTTAAGAGAATCTTATATGTAAATGGAATCAACAAAACAACCAAAAAAGCACTTTAAAATCCTTTATTTTATTTTCTCTTTAAATATAACTTTTAGGTTTGGCCTAACAAATAAAAACTAATGTTCTATTAAATAAACAGAAAAAAGTCCAGAAAACAGTTGAATAGTTTTATCGTATAGACTGACTGTTCTTTCATCTTATCCCTCAACTTTTTGCAATAAAATCTACAAATGACTTAACTTTCCATAAACAGCAACATTTGGAACAGTTAGTCCCCTTATTACGGTAAAGACTTTATTAAAGTAATAACCCAGAAATTATTCATACATATCAAACAAGCAGTACTATAAAAAAAAAAAAAAAGTTTTTCTCATGGCAGCAAATTTATTTTATATCATGAAATATATTTGAAATATTGTTGGTAAATGATGTCATTTAAAGGCTGTAATAAAGGAAGACAGATTTGGGCTTTTCTGAAATGTCTCTTAGATCCAGATTCATCTTCACTGCACTGATCAATTCAGCAGAAACTATTTCTAACAGAAGTTTACTCATTAATTAAATGTAAAGTTCACATTTTTATGACACACTAAAGTTTAGGATTTCATAGATTTTTCATCTAAAGGTTGGAAATATCAGCGTCTAAAGTTATAAAGCTAAAACTGCCTTTTCTGTTTTCAGCCTCTTAGCTCGTTAAACAGGCAACAAAATAAAATATTAGCTTTTGCTTTTACTTTAAATAAATGTTTTTCCCATGTTTGCCAATGAAGTAAGAATATTTACTTTTAAAACAAGACAAGAAATTATTTCATGTGCATAAAATGTGTCATTATTTTAAGGGGGGGAAAAGTCTTACCATTGGAAGAGCATTTTATTTAACTGATCAAATGAGGGACAAAGACTCATTAAAAGATGTTTTTCCTTTTTATAGATCCGTCTTTGCAGAGCAGAGTAACGGTGTTTGACAGCAGCGTCTTCAGTTTGCAGGTTAATGTCTCAAACCTTAAAGGTTACCTTCTCTACAGAGGGACAGTTGGACTGTTCCAGCTAGTAGAGTCCACTGATCTCTATTTATTCACTGGATTGCCCAAAAAAGTGAAGCCGCCATCTTGGTACTCCCCACTCCCACAGAGATGCTCAGTAAAATGCCTACCTGTGCAGCATTTAGCTGCAGAAACCGGCAGTTTTCTGTCTGCAGGAAGACGTTCCTCTGGTCATTTCCCAGTCAGTGGATGAACTAAGCAATAAATCCAACTATAGCCGATGGATCCTATAGTTTAGTCTGTAGACTAACATTAGTCTGGCTATCTCAGACTGACTGGAAGACATTGACTGAGTTAGACGCTGACATTGGGTCTAACGTTAGAAAATAGAAAGTAGAGGAAATAGAAAGTCATTCACTGAGAAATGTTAATGTAGGAATTCTTTATTCAGTGGATGATGATGTCGTTCATGTATAGTTTTCTGCATTTTTGATTTTTAAAAGTCATGAGCTGAAATATGCTGCATGTTATATTGATGGTGGAAAAAAAAGCAACTTAAACATTTTTAAAGGCTAATGCACAGACACAACATAATAGTATATGGCATCATGCACAATCTGCAGATAGGAAAATACTTCAGCATTAACAGACATGAATTTGTAATTCAGTCTTGATGTAAAATCTTGAAATTACATTAAAAAATAACAAATCCATGTGTTTTACAGGAACATCATCCGTTTAGCCCTCTTGGCTCATCAGTATTATTCTGCTCCATTGACACATTCATTTTATGATGGATTTGTATAATATGTTATATTACATGATTAATAGACTTCATAATGACTCTGCAATGTGATGGGCCTATTTTTTTAAATTCTAAGTTAAAGTTAATCTACTGATGCTATGAAACAGCCAGTCTGTGTCAAACTGATGAATTTATCTTTATTTTAAAAGTCTTCAGTCCCTGAAAATGAGAACATCATGGTTGTTCGATGCTGTAGCGCACCGATTGTTTACATTCTGACCGGTCTGACTAGGGAGTACCAATATGGCGGCCGGTGGCTGTACTTCAATCAGCAATCCAGTGAATAAATAGAGATCAGTGGTAGAGTCCAGCTAACGGTGCCTCATTAACCCTCTATGGCATGTTTCTTTATTGGGGGGGGGGATATTTCACCCTAGTTTTTGGGATCTTGGGCCTTATAACATATCACTCACCTCACCCCCCCCAATGTTTTGTTGCTTCAGGTCAAAAACATGCTGAGAGCAGTTACCAAGGTTTTCTGATGAGGTGGAATGAAGAACAAACGAGCCATAAATGCAATAGAAGAAGTTTTACTGCAAGTATTTCTGAGTGAGCGGGTTACAGATCAGCTGCAGTGTGTTTATGAACAAGTCTTCCTGTGTTTAGATAGAGATTTATTTCTATTTCGAGAATAAAGTCATCATTCAACAATCCGTTTCAGAAAGAAAGCTAAAAGCTCCGCCCAGCAGATGACGTCCGACCAGCTCCACCAATCAGCAACCAGAGTCCACTTTGACATCCTGCCCAGTTTGATGCTGCTGCTAAAAGATTTCCTGATTTGTCAAACCGATGCTAAAGTAGAACTTCACATGATGCTCCACATTCCTCACTTTAGGGAAGAAAGAGATTCTTGGAAGAGATGATATAAAATAAAACTTTATTCTCGTAATAGAAGGAATAAAAAATCTCTAGTGTGGCCCTGACACTCCGTCGTATTATTCTCTATGGAACCTGGAGGAGTAGCTGCTGGTGAAACAGGTGGAAATCCCATTTTAGGCTTTAGGGTCCCTTTGCATCCTGGTACCTTCCATCCTTTTCTTCATCCATGACCTTTGGCGGGCCATGGCGTCCAGACGCACAGCGGGCAGCAGAATGGGGTTACTGGGTCTTCATTCTCCCCAGCAATGGTGCAGCTGGGATGACCCATCTCACTCTCCAGGTTCTTCCCATGTCTGCACAAGCCATCTGCGATAAACAACTGGTGGTCGGCTCTGAGCCATCTGTCATCATCAGCTGCACAGGAAGCAGGTCGGCAAACACAAACAGACACCCAAACCTTTTAAAATCACTTTAGTCTTTAATTGAAATATTTTACTGGCAACTGTTAAATTATTCTTTTTACTTCTGCAGGCTGCGGAGAATGACTGTACAGGAAACTTTTCACAGTATTTCTTACAGTATTTACATCCTCCGTCACATTTACAAAGTCCCAGGAAAGAAAACCTCCTTTACAAAAAGTAAAGAACAGCAAACTAGAACAACATTAGTACATTCACACGCTGAAACAAAGCAACCTTAAATAAACAGCAACTCAATGAAGCTGAAGCCTGAACTATTTAGATGTCATTAGAGAAACAATAGAAAAAGGTTAGAGTCACTCAATAAATAAAGAGCTTTAGAAGCAGAGCTGCTGCTCTAAGAGGAGGGAATGTTACGCAAACCGCCTGCAGACACCGACGCTGGGAAAGAAACTTCCTCTGAACCTCCGTGGATCCAAATACAGCAAACTAATTCAGGTTAAGGAGACGCGCCGTTCTCAGTGGAAACGCCTCTGCAGCCATGTTTGCTCTATAAAGGTGCGTCAGCAGGTGAGGGTCTGTTAGTGCTTCTACAGTGCAAAGGGCCTTTTCCTTCAAGTTGAACCGTGATTGTGCATTTAAACAGTTATTTTATCATTTAGCCTCCAGTGCTTCTCTGCTCCCAAACGTGTCGCTGTGGTTTAAACGCTTCAGCTGGATGGTGGAGAGGAAGCAGCAACATCAGCTGCTGCATGGATGAAAGGCATTAGCATCCGTTAGCATGTCTGCTCCATTATTTAACTGACTGTAATGTGACGCCAGCTGCTCACTGGCGCCCCCGGTGGCTCCACAGGGAACTGGATCATTCAGTGAAATAAGAACTAAAGCTTCAGGTTTACGGCTTCAAAACCATTCAATAAGACAAGAAGGTGAAACCGTCTGATTTTAAGTCTGACTGATAAGCGTTTAGATTTAGAAGAAGAGGAAAAAAAAAGTCAGAGATCAGAAGCAAATAACTTTCCTGGGATGTTTTTCAGCAATCAGAGGCTCAAACACGCTGCTCGCCGACAGCGACGCCATGTTTGTCTGAATACAGGAAGCTGAAAGGAGATCAGAGTGAAACAGAAGCAGGAGGCGTTACCCTGAGGGGGTGAAGAGGCCCGCCATAAAAACTAGACCAAACATTTAGCTCCTCCTCCTCCTCACAGGTTGCTACGGTGACGGGATGGTTCACATGTAGGGAATTCTTGGCCAAACGCTCCTAAAGCTAAAGTCTGTCTCTGCCGCCCCGCTTCATGGAGGGGTGGAGTCAGTGACCCCTGCTGAGCCTGAACCAATGGGATCATAGCGAGCTGCAGGTGCCGGGCGAGTCCAGGTACGTTTGCAGGAATAGGAGTAATCACGCTTTTATGAAGGAAGGCGGCCCGGCAGACGGACAGAGCGGGGGTACGGCGGCGGCGGCGGCTGGGTGGCGGAACGTCTCCGGGCCTTCAGCCGCCACAGCCCTGACCTCCTCTCACTCGGGGATCTGAAGAGCCATCACTGAAGGTTTGATCTTGAAGTACTGGTTGAAGCGCAGCACGGCGTACCTGGAAGAGACAAAGATGCTCAGTTATGGCGGCGAAACGATCCAATCAGAGGAGCTGAAGGTCAGTCCATCATAAAACACCTTCTAACAAACTACCTACTGTTACAGCTGCAGCGCCATAACCGGCCTGACGTGGCGTCACATGGAGGAGTATTCAGTTCAAGCTCTGGCTTTCAGTTCTATTCAGTTTATTTCTACAGCTCCAATTCACATCATGTCATCTCAGGTCACTTTATAGATCCACATCAACCAGATCATCCAGTCAGATTGATTCAAAGTTTTCTATCTAAGGAAAACCAGCTGATTGCATCGACTCATTGACTCTTCAGCAATCCCTCACACTAAGCATGCTTGTAGTGACAGTGGAGAGGAAAAACTCCCTTTGAACAGGAAGAAACCTCCAGCAGAACCAGGCTCAGTGTGAGCGGCCATCTTCACCCTCATGGTGGTCAGATGGTGGCGCCGGCGTACGGCAGCCTGTCAGTGATCCGCAGGGCAGCCGTGGCTATAACGTAGCTCCCCACCATCAGTGTGTGAGTGAATGACTGAGTGTCTTTATAAAAACAGGCCTTTCTTTCTATCACTGACTTTCTCACTTCAGACCTTTAGGTGGCAGCATGTCGCCACACCTGGGCTGTTCATGGAGATCCAGGTTTCCCTTCATGCTGTTTCTACTGAATAAACTAATCAGCGTTCAGGTTGATCAGCTGCAGCATCAGTAGGATGGAGGGAATCATTCCAATATTTATAGAATATAGAGAGAAATCTCTTTCCCATATTAAAAAAAAATATTGAACTTTTTCATTTATTTCCTAGTGGCCCTAATCCTCTTCTGTAGGATTCATAATACGGTGAAACTGGGAAACTTAAAGCTACACTCTGTCATTTTCAGCCACATAACATGTTTATTTAAAACCATTAGAACGTACCCAAGGAAGTCGAAGTGGATGGAGGAGTATTTGGCCTGGATCAGAGCCCAGAAGCCCCAGAAGAAGTGAGAAGCCTTCAGGGAGAAACATGAGACATCAGATGGTGACGGCGCGTTAATCTGGGGGGGAAAGAGGCGGTTTGTTCTCACCAGAGCAAACTTGTTGACCTGAACGTAGAGCGTCTCCAGCTCCCGCTGGCTGACCTCCTCCGTCTTCTTGGTGAACAGCTTGTACGCCTGCAGGTACTCCTTCAGCCAGTCCATCTGCATCTCCTGGCTGGGGTAGAGGCCGTAGTCCAGCTCAGCCATGCCTGATCGCACACAGACGCCAACAGCTGGGCAATAATCCTAAAGCCTTAAACCACATTACAAACAAATCACTCACCTGCAAACTCGTTGAAGTGGTTTCCGATGTCGAAGGCCTGATAGTTGTAGCTGGAATATTCGTAGTCTATGAAGCGAACGTGACCTGAAAGACCACAACAGTCTTTTTTCAGTCATTAAACAAGAAGGAGAAAAAATAAACCCTGAATTTTAAATGTTTTTAGAAATTATTTTAAAAATCCTCGTTTTTCCAGCCACTTTTTTTGAAATTAGCATTTTCCTGTTCTCCAGCTGTTTCTCCGCCTCGAGCTTCTTTTCGGAATAAAAGGCTTTACGATCAATCGGAAGCAGTTTCACGCAAACACACCAAGCCAGTTAGATCTGATAGATCTGATGAAATAGTTTTCTACAAACTTATTCTTTAAAATTAAAGCATTTTAAATGCCAGGAATAATCACATTTAATGAATTTTAATGCCAATCAAGGCCTTCATTTAAAAAATAATAACTTAATGACTTAAAGATTTTAACGACCCGTGGAACTCCTGAATTAAGATGAAATGCATTAAAAAACCAAAACATTTTCATTGCTGCCTGGTGTCTGAATCATTACTGGATAAGATCAATAATTTAATCCCTCAGACATTCAGTCAGTCTGAAGATAAAACATCACTTTATGACGGTAGTTTTTATCTTAACCCCTCCCCATGCTTTAAAACACTTAAATCATCCAGAATTAAGCTTTTAAGCTTTAAAGTATCTTATAAATATTTGAAAATTTGGTGACATGTGAGTGATTCTCTGGTCTCTGAGCATCAGTTCCTCTCCGTCCTGGAAAACGATCGGCTATCACCGTTTCCTCCAGGAGGTCCCTTCTGGTCCAGTCTGTACGGTAAAACTATTCAACCATTTATTTAATAGAACATTAGTTTTTATTTGTTAGGCCAAACCTAAAAGTTATATTTAAAGAGAAAATAAAGAATTTTAAAATACTTTTTTGGTTGTTTTGTTGATTCCATTTACATAGAAGATTCCATTAAATCCTGCCTAGAAGTTTTAAAGCTTCTTCACCCCCTAATGTCTTTTTTTTCCCACATCTGCCAGACTCAGTGATCGTGATGAAAAATATATATATATATTTTTTTTGCGATTAACGCTAAATTGATTAAATCTGTGAACGTATTAGTTCTAGGAATATGATGAACGGACTTTTCCTTTAATAACTTCATCCTAATGCTCGTTAATAATGTACAGCCTCCCTGATTACACAGAAATGACATCATGCAGCCGCAGCTCTACTGTGATGTCATCAAATGGGCGGGAAACCAGCAACAGAAAACAACCAATAATCATCTTTCAACGAACCATACTTTAAAACTTCAGTAGTTTTATTTCCCTTTGAGTGTTTAGCATACAGCAGCCTGCGTGGCGAGGTGAGGGGAAGGAGGGTCACCTACCCTCTTTGCTGTTATGTATAATGTTCTTGCAGAGCAGGTCGTTGTGGCAGAGCACCACGGGGGAACCCAGCATGGAGAGATGTTCCTTCATCCACACCATCTCCTGCTCCAGCACCGCCTTGCTGGGAACCTCCTGCTGGATCCTGAGCAGAGAAGGAGGAGAAACGGAGGAAAGGTCACCGCACGTATCAGTGAGAGAAACATCTTGTTTTCAGAGCAGTGCGGCGCGAAACTCTGAGAGCCGAGAAGCGGTGGGAACAAGAGGCTGAAGCTCAGCTGGGCTTCAGTCCTGTGGGTGGAACCCAGCTGCAGCAGAGTCCGTTACTAACTGCTGCTCGCTTTGAAGAGTCCTTATTGCTTTCATCTATCGCTTGCAGCTGTATGCATTCTATTCACTTCATTTCTATAGCTCCAATTCACATCATGTCATCTCAGGTCACTTTATAGATCCACATCAACCAGATCATCCAGTCAGATTGATTCAAAGTTTTCTATGTAAGGAAAACCAGCTGATTGCATCGACTCATTGACTCTTCAGCAATCCCTCACACTAAGCATGCTTGTAGCGACAGTGGAGAGGAAAAACTCCCTTTGAACAGGAAGAAACCTCCAGCAGAACCAGGCTCAGTGTGAGCGGCCATCTGCTGAGGCCGACTGGGGTTCAAGGAGACAGAAGCAGACATAGAAAAAGAAGCATAGATAGAAAAGGCAACTGTCAACCAGCTCCACAGGCGGCCCCGTCCAGGAAACACACAGCCAGGCAGACGAGCTCCGAGCCAGCTCCCATGTCAGAGGATGAAGAGAGCACATCCAGTTAGTCACAGTCAGAGAAACAGGACTACACTGGAAAACAGACCAAGCTCCAACATCTAGAAACAAAGGTGTTGATGGCAGCAGCACAGCTGATATTTCTCTCCAGGATGGAGTCACAGCCAAACAGGAACAGACCAGATGAAGCTACTATGAGAAAAAGCAGAGAGAGCAGAACGTTAGAGATTGAACTAACAGATTCTGACCTCTGTCCTTTCTGTGTTACCAAGGTGATCTCAGGGTTGATTCAGGAAGGACTAACTCTAATTGAATGCTTATAAATGCTCTTAGAAATGTTTTTAATGCCATCAATAAGAACCCAGGGCTAGCGTTAGCAGCCAGGGCTCATCTTTACCATCGACAGGCTGCAGCCATGTTTTCCATATTCTGTAGCTTTTCTTCACCTTGATCTTCTTTACCGAACACAAAGCTTTAGAATCAAATGGGAGCAGTTCCACTCAAATATATCGCAATATAATATATCTGACAAAATAGTTTTTAGAAACTTTTTTTTTAAATAAAGCATTTTAAATGCCACGGTGAATTTTAATGCCAATTAAGGCCTTAATTTAAAACTATATAATTTACTGATTTTTAATGACCTGTAGAAACTTTCACGTTCAGGCCAGCTGCCACTTTCCAACCCAAACCAAAGGAGCTTCAGGCCATGTGTGGAGCAGAGTTAAACCTCTGTGTTGGTCAGGATGCCGAGCAGAGACCCCTCTGCTGAGTCTAATGGGCTTATGGAGCCTAATCCAGGTCAGGTCTACAGGTGGGGGGGAAATAAAAGAAACAGGAAGCAAGGCTGGACTTCAAACTCTGTGCTTCAAACACGCTGGATCGACCAGACCTCCACTCACACTAAGGGTGATGTTTTCTAAAGCCATCTTTCCACAGCATAGAGGAAGGCTTCCCACCAGTGGGAAACTTGTCCTGCACACAGCGCCTCAGGGGGAACAGAAAGGGAGCTGCTCAGTGGGAGGAGCTCAGCAAACATCTGATCCGCTCAGCTGTTCCTGCTGCATTACATAAGACTCCTGTTAGCTTCACGTCCATCACATCCTGCAGGCCGCCTCATCAGCTCATGCAGCGCAGAAAGAGCTTCACATCCTGAGTCTTTGAGCAATTTGTCCCTTTTTGACAAATGAAATTATTAAAAATATTTTACACCTAAAAATCTGAAGACTGCCACGTATTTATATTCATCACGTTACTCTGATAATCCTCATTGATATCTATGAAATGAAAAAAAAAGCTTCATCACCATCCATTACCAAATAATCATCCACAGATTCAGTCCCTGAAAACAGATTCAACAGAAAAGAAGACATTTTCTGGAAGATCAAACCCACTTTTTGGTTATTTTTGTTCACAGAATTGTTTCACAGATCAAAACCAGAGTGACTGAGCTGTAAAAACACGTCTCCACATGTTTGACGCCAACGTGGACGAACAGATAACTTCCAATCAGACACTTAGTGCCGAGATAAGTTATCAGAGAACTTATGTAAATGTTATGCATTTTGTTCAAAGTGAAAAACCATGAGCAAATAAAAATGGTAATAAAATAAAACGTTAGGACATGTTGTGACTGATGATCCAGACTATAAAGACCTTATCAGCCAGATTTCTTTTAAACGGGACATAAAGAGAATTTAATTCCTTCTGATCGTGTTTATTTTCAAACATCATGCTAACTTTAACTTTCTCTGGTCAGAATAAATAGCTAAAACTTTGTAGAGTCCTGATCCATCTGCTGGAAAGCTTTCAGGAAGCAGGGTAGTTTAACCAGGACCAAACCTCAGAGTGATCTACATGGACCCCCCCTGGTAGGTAGGGAGGGAGGTCTATCTGGAAGCTGAACTAAAGGATGAAGCTTTTATAGCTGGTTAAATACTTTCAGTCCCGTTTCTACTCCTCTGCTGCTCCAACGTTCTGTTAACTAACTGTACGTGTCAGACGTTCAGTGTTTTGGTGTAATTCCTGCTCTAATTGGGTCGCTCTGTCAGCTAAAGGCAGGTTTTAGTAATACATATACATCCGAAGATGCTTCTCTTTCATTCACCCTGAGTGAATGTAGCCTTGGCCAGGAGGAATCAATGTCATCAGGTGGCATCCACCGTTCACTGGCTGTTTCGACCCTGAACCACTACAGCCTCCCGGTGGTGGGTCGGCAGTGGTGGCCAAGTCACTGCCCATCTCCTCCTCCTGGCTTCCAGCTAACCTCCTCCCTCCTACTCCATAACCAGCATGAGGCTTTTTCCGCTGCCTCCCCCATCCTGCGAGCTGCAACCTTTCTTTCCCTCCCTCCCAATCCAATGGCTGTGAACATTCTCCATACAGACTGGGCCGGGAACCCTCGACAACCGACCTCGACTGGGAACAACCATGACTGCCATCCCTTCTCTCTGCACTCATGCAGAAGGTCTTGATACTTTGCACTTTTCCTTTCAAAGGCCTGTTCACACCCCTCTTCCCATGGGACAGTCAGTTCAATAAGCATGATCTTCTTCGCTTCTTCTGACCACAGTACCACATCTGGCCTCAGGGATGTCTGGACAAACTGTGGGAACTTCAACCTTCCGCCCAGGTCAACCTTCATTTCCCAGGATTGGGCCTTTTGCAGTAGACTAGATTTTGCTGTAACTGCAGTTGGTGGCTTTTCCCCTTCCCTTACGAACTGGATTGATGTTGCCTTTGGATGTTTCTGCCGTTTCTTCTTCCTCTCCTGCTCTAGGGTGTTGGCAAGTGTCATGAGCACCTTGTCATGGCGCCACCTGTATCTTCCTTGGGCAAGTGCAATTTTACACCCAGACAGGATATGCGCCATGGTCCCTTTCTCCCCGCAGAGCTTGCACAGGGGGCTCTCAGATAGCCCCCACCTGTGCAAATTTGCTGGGGTCGGGAGTGTGTCATACACTGATCGCAGCAAGAAGGAGATACGAAACGGCTCCAGCCTCCAAAGCTCTGCCCAAGTGATCTTACGCTTGGGGAGGTCCCACTTGGTCCAGGCTCCTTGGGAAGATAGTGCCACAGCCTTTGACCTTCGCCCTTCCTCCTCCAAACTTCTAACCTCCTCCTGAATCATCACTTTTCTTTCCCTAGTTCCTGCCTTGCTCCACTGTTGGAAATGGGATGTTCCAAGACCCTGTCTTCCTGTGCATGGTGCCCCTATGATGTCACGGATCTTCAGCATGCTTTCCGTCTGTGTGACCGTTGCCTCAGCTCCCCACTTGCGGCCGGATCTCGTGACGATCCCTGCTTGTCTGACTTGGTCATCGGGGGAGTCTCTGTAGGTCATGACGACTCTGCACTTGGCAACTTTAAACTCCTCCACCACGGATGTCAGAGGAAGTTGAAGTTGTCCTGATCTTATGTACAGGCCTACTGACGTGAAGCTTGGAGGAATCCCCAGCCACTTCCGGAGATACTTATTGACTTTCCTCTCCATCCCTTCCACGCTTGTCATTGGGGCTTCATACACAGTCAGTAACCATGTGAGCCTTGGCAGCAGCCCGTGTTGATAGAGCCACGCTTTAAATTTCCCTGGAAGTCCTGACTTTTCGATACTCCTCAACCATTCCTCTGTCTGCTTCTCTGTATTGACCATGTTGTTTCGGTCGGCCAGTGAGTTGTCAAACCACTTTCCGAGACACTTGATTGGGTTTTCCTCCACCGACGGGATCACTTCCTCTTGCACATACAGCCTAAACTTGTTGGTCACCTTCCCATTTCTGATCACCATGCTTCTGGATTTCTTTGGCTTGAACTTCAGTCTAGCCCATGTTGCCATTTGGTCCAGTGCTGTTAGCACCCATCTCGCCTCCACATGGGTTCTGGTTGTCACTGTAAGGTCATCCATATAACCCCTTATTGAAGGTTGTTGGATGCCTGACTCCATCTTTGGGCCCTTTGCCTCCTTTGCTGCAGCTGTTATCAGCAAATTCATTCCCATGACAAAAAGGATTGGGGAGATTGTGCAGCCAGTCACAATTCCCTTTTCTAGGCTCTGCCAACGAGTTGTAAAATGGGCTGCCTTGAATCGCACCTGGATTCCACCGAAGTAGCTGGTGATCATTCCCTTGATGTGTTGAGGGATGTGGTAGTGATCTAGTGCTGTATGGATTAAGGCATGAGGGATAGATCCATAGGCATTGGCCAAATCCAGCCAGACTACTGTAAGGTTGCCGTTTCTGGACTTGGCCTCACGAATCATCTGAGTGAGAACACCTGTGTGCTCCAGACAACCAGAAAAGCCTGGAATTCCGCCTTTCTGGATAGCTGTGTTGATATACTTGTTCTCGATCATATAAGAGGTCATCCTCTTGGCCAATACAGAGAAGAAGATTTTACCTTCCACGCTTAACAGTGATATTGTTCGAAATTGCTCAATGGTTAAGGAGTTCTCTTCCTTTGGTATGAAAAATCCTTCTGCCCTCTTCCAGCACGATGGAATGGTACCCTTTCTCCAAATTCTTCGGAACAACCTCCACATCCTCCGAAGAAGCATTGGGCACTTTTTATATGCTTTATAGGGTATGCCGCTTGGGCCGGGGGCAGAACCTGATCTGGCCTTCTTCACTACCTCCTGGACTTCTTTCCATGTTGGTTAATTGATATTGAGTTCCTTTTTGGGGGCCTCTACGCTGCTGATGGGTGGGTTACCTTCCAGGTTCTGATTCCTGAAGCTGTCACTGTGGGTCTCGTCCAGGAATGCCTCCACTTCCTCTCTCGGGCTGGTCAGCTTTCCAGATTTTGCCTCACCTAGAAGTGCTCTAGTGAATTGGAAAGGGTCTTTAATGAACTGTGCCCGCTTCTTCTCTCTGTCCCTCCTTTTCTTTCGTAAGCTCTCTGCTCTTCTGAGTCTGCTTAAACGATCCCGGATTTGACTTGTTAGGTCCTTGATGCCTTCCCTTTCCTCTGTTGGGGCATTTTTGAATTGTTTGGAGAGTGACTTGATTTCTCTCCTCATACGCTTGATTTCTCTTTCCCTTCTGCTAGGCTGCTGTACAGACTGACTTCCCACTTTCTTCTCCTCTACTCCAAACCGCTCCCTTGCCAAGTTGTAGGTTAATGTTGTGAGAGTGTTAACTTTCTGCTCGGCTGTCCCAGCCAGTGTGGCTTCTAGAATCTTGTCGAGGTCTTGATCTAGTTGGTTCCATTCCTGGTTATCACTCATCTTGGGCCATTGTATTCGTTCCCTCGCAGGATGTGGTTGGCTCACTGGGTTGGAATGAGGTTCGTCCCTCCTGAGGTCTTGAGGTAACTCAGGTGCTAAGAGATCTCCAGTACTGTGGGGTTTGTCCAGACTAGAGTTCTCCTGCGTCTCACCAAGTGTTACCACTGTGCGCTGCACCTGTGCCCCCCCTTTTTCACAGACGGTTCGGCTCTGATGGATCTTCAGCCCTCTTAAGTTCTTGCAGATTTTTCCGCAATGACACTTAACTTCCAATGTCTCTCCAGTTAGTGTGTTTTGGGTAAGCAGTTTCTGTGTCCATAGTCCGTTCCTGGCCATCACCGTATCTCTACACTTCATTTAATGATTAATCCATTACTAAATTAGTTGATTATTGTTTCAATAACTGATTAATCTGATTAATTGTTTGGGCTCTAGTTCCCACAGTCGGCTTTTCTAAAATACTCCCCGTTTGCAGAAGCTTCTTCGACTTCAGAAACCATCGGAGACGATTGAAAAAGAAAACGTGTTTCCTGGACTCTGCTGCTGTGATCAGTGAACCTCTCTGAGGTGGGAGGGCCTCCAGGCCAGCACCCTCATCTCTACCTCCCTTTCTGATGTAACGAGTGCAGAGTGCAGTAGTTGGAAGGCAGAGCTCTTTGAGGACATTATGAATCTATTTGTTGCTTTTCTGGCCATTGATAGAAGAAAACAAACTTCCTATCATAGCATCGGGGTTCTAACATGGAGCTGCTAAAACACTAATCAGGAAATGTTTTTACTAGAACTATAATGAAGGTCTGACTGAGAGTAGAAAGAACATCAGGCTGATCTTCCTTCTGCTGGTTTGTGAGAAGAACTTTGACAGCAGATGATCTTCCTCCGGTTCCTTAGTTTCCAAACATCTGAGTCTAAAGCCAAAAGCTGAATCTAAACATCTATGCTAAAATGTTCCTGGAGCGTCTAACTTTTCTTAACCTTTTCTTAACCTCTTAACCTTCCAACATGGAGGAGGGTTAATCGGTCTCCTGTCGCTCATCCTTCTCTTTCCTTTCCTTCAGATCAGGTCTTCTTTGCTGCATTTTCTACAATATTGTTTAACAAAGGTGGTTCAGTGTAGTCCTGTTTCTCTGACTGTGACTAACTGGATGTGCTCTCTTCATCCTCTGATATGGGAGCTGGCTCGGAGCTCGTCTGCCTGGCTGTGTGTTTCCTGGACGGTGCCGCCTGTGGAGCTGGTTGACAGTTGCCTTTTGTATCTATGCTTCTTTTTCTATGTCTGCTTCTTTCTCCTTGAACCCCAGTCGGCCTCAGCAGATGGCCGCTCACACTGAGCCTGGTTCTGCTGGAGGTTTCTTCCTGTTCAAAGGGAGTTTTTCCTCTCCACTGTCGCCACAAGCATGCTTAGTCTGAGGGATTGCTGAAGAGTCAATGATTCGATGCAATCAGCTGGTTTTCCTTAGATAGAAAACTTTGAATCAATCTGACTGGATGATCTGGTGAACTGGAAAGTGACCTGAGATGACATGAAGTGAATTGGAGCTATAGAAATAAACTGAATAGAATTGAATTCCCAGTGTGGGTGTGTTTATTCTGCTCTGACGTGACGTTGATTCTGTCAGTAGGAGATGGACACGCCCCTAAAGCCTTTCTCAAACCTCTCATTTTTATCGTTGATGGTTTGGAAACTTTTCCAGCAGCAACATTCTGGAGCTTCCTAGATCGTTTCAAAGCCATCCTGGTTTCTTAGCGGAGAGGTTTACCGAGCACTTCGCTAACTAGACTGACTGATCGACCTCAGGTAGATCCGTTCACTTGTGCCGTCAGCTGCTCAGAGCAAAGGAACATCCAAAGCAAACCAGTAAGCCAATAAATACCCAGTAAAAACCATGAATGATCAGAAGGTATTGCGTAAATATCAGTGGTTTTTGAAAATAAACTCTAAAGCTGCAGACGGCTCCTCTCCACCACCTGCTGCTCCTTTTCCATCACTTATTTTACAGAGAAATCAGACGACGCTTCAGGAAACATTTGCATGCTGATAGCTGAACCGTACCTGAGGTTGGAGGCTTGGTCGGTGAACTCGGTGGCCACCAGGGAGAAGTAGTGCCGCATCTTGATCCAGAGGTTAGGTTTGGGGATGCAGCCGTTGTGAGCGTGGATGGCGTGGATCCGAGCCATTTCCCTGGCTATTAACCTGAGAGGAGAGCAGATTTTAGTCGAAATAAACCACGTCTGACGTGTTTCATCTCCAACTTATCAGCTAGAAAAGAGTTGCAGATGGCGGCCATGTTGTGGTCCTCACCGGATCAGGGTCGGGTCCCTGACATCCTGCGGCCCCAGAGCGTCCCCCTGCATGAACTCGTAGCAGATTCCATTTTGAAAGGTGCAGTAGAGGAGTGGAGCGCAGCCATTAGCGTGGAGCACCTGGAAGGTCAAAGGTCAGAGGAAGACTGGAGAGAAAAACCAGATGGATGCAGCGGAGGAAGCAACGCGTCATCCCTACCTGAAAGCTTTTCAGCTCGTTATCTCTGTCCACGATCAGCTCCGTCTTGTTCCCGTAGACTCGGACCAGAACCACGTCGTCTGGACTGTCGTCCACATAGCAGCCCACCAGCTTGTTGGTGGTACCGTCAGTGAAGGACTGGAAGAGACGTACAGGAGGTTAACAGCTCCAGTGTTTCACACATGGTAGAGCTGCTACCACACCATCTGTGGTAGCAGCTCTAGACATTTTCCAGGCATGTGAGGAAAACTAGCAGCAGTTCAACAGACAGGATGAAGGAACGGTAGCCGACGCGCGTGGATGATAATGAGAAACACTGAGCACTGCGACGCTCCAGACACGATGATGCTGAGCTTTAGTTGGTTAAATTCAAACAATGAGCTGACAAGATGGCTCCTTTTCTCATCAGTCAGGCCTCCATTAGATGACTGACGGAGAGGACGGAAGTTTTTCTATCTAAGGAAAACCAGCTGATTGCATCGACTCATTGACTCTTCAGCAATCCCTCACACTAAGCATGCTTGTAGCGACAGTGGAGAGGAAAAACTCCCTTTGAACAGGAAGAAACCTCCAGCAGAAACAGGCTCAGTGTGAGCGGCCATCTGCTGAGGCCCACTGGGGTTCAAGGAGACAGAAGCAGACATAGAAAAAGAAGCATAGATACAAAAGACAACCAGCTCCACAGGCGGCCCCGTCCAGGAAACACACAGCCAGGCAGACAAGCTCCGAGCCAGCTCCCATGTCAGAGGATGAAGATAGCACATCCAGTTAGACACAGTCAGAGAAACAGGGCTACACTGGAAAACAGGCCAAGCTCCAACATCTAGAAAAGACAGATGACCGTTGATCTATAATTGGCAGAATCTAGATGTTCAGGCTGACGTAGAACTAACTGGCCTGCAGAAGATAACGGGGAAAAAAAACAGATTTTAAGACAGGATTTTTTTTTTAAACAGAAATCTTATTTAAATTTATCAAATGTAATAAAGAGAACATTTATATACATGTTTAAGCCAGAATGATTTGACATTTAAATATAATTTCCCTACGACTCTAAGGAACCTTTGGCGTTCTCATTATTAACCTGCTGCTCTCTGGCTAATAAATAACAACCAGGACGCTGTGAGCTCAGACACTCACTCACACATATCTGACATTCCTGCCCACACAGACGGAGGACAGGCATCCACAGTCAGGCTGATCCCTTCCACTCAGCAAACAGTCACCAATCAATTCATGGACGCTGGTTGATCAGCTTAGTGGACATCTAGAACAAGCCATGTCTGGGATCTCTGACAGCATAAACTGTGCCTACAGGTGGAAGAAAGGAAAGTTTGGATCAGGGACGTTATCGCTCAGAAAAATGTTTTTTTTCCAACAATAAATGCAGCAAAGCTAAAATCTGCCAACATTTCTGATCTTTAAGAAGCAGTCAAAGTGGCAGCATGTTCTGAAACTCCTAATCACCAGGCAGGTTCCTGTTTCAGCTCTCAGTGGGGAAAAACTCTGCTAGGATGATCAAGCTTCATCAGCAGGGTCTGGCTGCCAGCAGGCGTTCAGCTGGCAGAGCGTGCGGATCTACGTTAGATTCCCTTTGCTAAAAATATCAGAAATGGTACGGCCGGTTTTCCCCTGGAAACTTCACTCAAATATTCAAACTTTCACAGGTTTGACTGATCTCAGCACGGTTTCATTAAGGGTAATGTAAACAGAGCTATAAAAAAATTTGGTTTTCCCAATTTTAAACATGGAACACACCTTCTAGAAGAACAAAAAGCAAATAAAAGCTGAATAAATGACTTAAATTGATCAATTTAACAAAGTTGTTTGAGGTATTAATCGATTATTGTGTTAAAAGTTCTGGAAATCTAAAATTAACGTCGGCAAAAATATGCAAACCTCACAGTCTTTAGCATCAATGCTACGCAAACCGAGTTCTAGTGTCCAGATCCAGCAGGTAAGAATCAATTCTTTAAGGTCTAGATCAGACATGGGCAAACTACGGCCCGTTAGGCTTTTTAATCCGGCCCGCCGATCTTGTCCAAATTACAGTATTTTCACGACTATAAGGCGCACATAAACGTCTTTTTTTCCCCTCAAAATGTGCGGTGCGCCCTATGTGTGTTGTAACTGCGACTTTTGAGACCACCTCATTGATAGGGGTGTGGGAAATAATCGTTTTGGCGATATATCGTGATATTCGGCTGCCCAATATAATATTGATCTTTCACTTCTTAGTATCGATAAAAAAAAAAAAAAAGGTTACATAAAACATAGATGGGAAAATGGGCTACCTCTGCACCACCACTCTGGCAGAAAGCACTGTGGAGCCCTTTAACTGTGCGTGCAGCACCAAATCTGTATTTGAGGCAGTCACAGTGGAAGAAAACCCCAAACAACATGGATAATAATACCTAATCAATATTTTCTGATGAAAATATACAGCACTTGCTGTTTTATCTCATCATTTGATTTTGATAGCTGGGGAAAATATGGCAATATATAGTTATACTGCAATATCGTGATAATATCGTATCGTGACCCAAGTATCGCGACATGTATCGAATCGCAACACTCATGCCAATACTCACCTCTACTCATTGAGGAGATGATGAAAGAGTGGCTGAGGGAGGTGAATGTGAGGAGACCAGGTGTTTTTTTTCCACTCATCACCATCGCTGTTAATATGTGACTCCATGCGTACCCATCTCACAGCTGATGTGAAAAACATGGTGAAACAAATTAATGCTGTGCTTGCTGTTATTCAACCGCTCGACATCGGTGTGAACCGGATGCAGCAGGCGCCGCAGAAGCAGTGAGTTTACATGCAAAGTCAATGGTTGACGCGTGTATAGGCGCAGCAAAAGGTCCCGCAGCGCGTTTTGAGCAGCAGGCGCTGCGTGTCGGGAGCGTTTAAGCATCTGACGCGCTTGATGCGCCGCCAACGCGCTGCTGCTGCTCGAGATGGAAAAATTGAAGTTTTGCTGCTGGAAGCGCCGCATCAACCAATCAGAGAAGCTGATCTGGGAGCTGACAGCGAGACAGACACAGCGCTCTGATGACATATGATATTAAGGCAAATGAAAAAGGCTGGATGGATGAGGAGATGATGAAAGCGTGGCTGAGGCAGGTGTATGTGAGGAGACCAGGTGGTTTTTTCCACGCATCACCATCGCTGTTAATCTGTGACTCCATGCGTGCTCATCTCACAGCTGATGAGAAAAACATGGTGAATCAAATGGATGCTGTGCTCGCCGTTATCCCGGGGGTCTGATAAAGGAACTTCAACCGCTCGACAGGTCTTTCAAAGTAAGGCTGCGAGCGGCGTGGGAGCGATGGATGACAGACAGAGACCACAGTTTTAGGATAAGTGGAAGGCAGCGCCGGGCAAGTTACGCCACCGTTTGCGGATGGATTGTAGATGCTTGGACTAACGTGTCTGCTGGCTCTGTTGTTCAAGCTTTCGCAAAAGCAGGCATTATTTCTGAGGAGCCGCGCTGCACGGAAAGTGACTCTGACAGCGAAGAAGGGGAAATTGGCATGTCTGATTTAGCGCAGCTGTTTAATTCAGAAACAGAGGATCAGGACTTTGAGGGGTTTGATTAATACTTTGTAATAAATACATGAATAAAGCACAAACATACTCAGTTTTGCTCTCGCTCTATTTTTCTACCTGAAAACTTAATTCAACAGCAGCCTCTGGGCGGGTCTCCTCCTCTTCACCGCGGCGGCTGGCAGGTGTTTTTCATCTAAATAATCTAAATCTTGCAGCTATATTTGCTGTGATCAGTGGGAATAAAGTAGTTTTAATATGTTTTTAAGTGAGAAAGTCCACCTGAAAACTTAATAATTGCAGTCAGTTCATCCAGATTATCATCCTGCCTATACTATTTCTGTCGGAGGCGCAGAATTGCCACAACGAAACTAACTCCAGACTTTAATGCACTGGCAAAAAAAGGAGAACAACAACACTGTTCCCACTGAAATGTGAGTTTTTCTACTGTGTTATGAAAAAAATGGTAACTTGCGCATTTATGCACAGCAGCGGTACAGTAGCTTAATTAACATGCCGCACATCGCTCTCATTTTAAAGACCCCTTCCTTTCGTTGGGTAATAATATGTTCTGAATGTTGAAAGTGATTCCATTGATTTTTTTTCCACTAAATGTTGATTTCTTTAAATTTGCACCTTCAATTGTCTGTTTTTTTTATACATTTCAATCCCCAGGTTTAATAAATGACATTGCTTGTCCAAATGCTCCTGGCCCGGCCCTTCTGTCAAATTTTAGAACCCATTCTGGGGCGCAAGTCAAAAAGTTTGCCCACCCCTGTGCTAACCTGCTGTTAGCTCAGAAACCTCTGAGATGAAGGATGAATCCTTTACCACAACAAAAACAAGGCGCCGTTATTTTAAACTCTCAGGATGTCACCATGTTGTGGATGACGGCGAATCTTTACCAGCATATGATGAGCTCTGCCTGTCACCAGGTAAACAGTGTGACATCATCAGCAGCAGCAGCCAGGTGGAGGTCAGTGTGAGCGGGCGTGGCATCAGATGGAGGGAGAGATAAGCTAACGTTAGGTAAACATGCCAGCTGTGTTTGAAAGGAGCTGTAAATGTTATCTGCAGGCAGAGCTGAGCTCACTAGGACAACTCACTTCTTCTTTAACGCTCAAATCAAGGAGGTTCACCATTACACCAGGATCCAGCGGTGAACAAGTACTCAATAGTAGAACTTGACTTAAAGTATTGATACTTAAAGTTAAATCTAACTCAAGTACAAGTAAAAGTTACTCACTCAATAATGTACTGAAGTTAAAGTATTGAAGTACTCAGCAGTATGAATAAAATGTTCTAATATCAGAATGTTTCAGTTTCATTTTCAGAGTCATTTTAAAGAACTTTCAGAAACAACCTGATGTACTGATGGAGGTTCATCTGTTAGAAACTCGAACTTTGACCCGAGACTCATCCTACGGAACAACTTGGCCTCATGGCGTCCAGCCTGAGTCCTAATGGCTTCTATCCGCCATGATGGATGAAAAACAGCAACACACCATTAAAAAGCTACGATGAACCAAAAAGAAGAAGGAGCTAACAGCTTCCTGGGAATGGAGCGAAAGTTACAGTAATTTAG